GGAGGAACGGAAGCCGCGGCTTTTCCTGCTGCTGCATAGACCGTCGTCAGCAGCAGCAGCAGCAGCAGCTGCTGCTGCTGCTGCTGCATTCTACCCCCTAGTGCTCCCAGCAGAGTGGGCCGGGAGCTCTCTTCTCTTCAAAAAAATTTTGCTGAAGCCTCAGTGCACGGGAACCTACAGAGTCGCAGCTGTCTCTCACAGGCAGCAGCAGCAGCAGCAGCAGCAGCAGCAGCAGCAGAAGCAGCAGCAGCTATGGCAGCCGCAGCAGCATCGTATGTCTCGTACAAGAGGGGATTCAATTCGGGAGCACTACAAAACTCAGCTGCCACAGTTGCGGTGCAGCATCAGCAGCAGCAGCAGCAGCAGCAGCAGCAGCAGCAGGGTTGTATGCAGGGCATTATCCCCCAGGGAGATACAGCAGCATCAGCAACAGCAGCAGCATCAGCAGCAGCAGCAGCAGGTGCTGCTGCTGCAGCGCCGCAGTTCTGTTAGCACCTTTTCACTTTGTGATGCTGCTGCAGCACCGCACAGGGCGGGGGCCCGCAGCAAACCACTGCCTATTCCTGCATCAGCAGCAGCAGCAGCAGCAGCAGCAGCAGCACGAACAGCAGCAAGGGCAGCAGCAACGGATTCAGGGACTTGGAGGTTCGCTGCAACTCTTTATTCACCTGCAGCAGATGCAGCAGCAGCAGCAGCAGCAGCAGCAACAGGGTCCTTCTGCAGCTCAGAGCTCAGCCCAGTTTGCTCGACTGCGCGTACAGACGATGTACACCAGCAGCAGCAGCAGCAGCAGCAGCAGCAACAGCAGCAGCAGCAGCAGCAGCAAACGCAGCAGCTGCAGCAAAAGCGTGCATGCACCGAGGGGTTTTGGGAACAGGCCGAACTCCTCGGGAGAAATCTCACTCAGCAGGAGCAGCAGGAGCAGCAGCAGCAGCAACAGCAGCAGCAGCAGCAACAGCTGTTGCTGCTGCTGCCACCGTCAATACCGGCAGCAAATACAGCAGCAGCAGCAGAAGCAGCAGAAGCAGCAGAAGCAGCAGCAAATGGATTTGTACAAATGCCTGGTTCTTCAGCTGCAGGCTGGAGCACCCATGCGAAGACAGCAGCAGCAGCAGCAGCAACAGCAGCAGCAGCAGCAGCAGCAGAAGTCGCTGCCCCGAACACTACTTTTGCTGCTTCTGCACTGGACAATATTTTCTCT